GATAGAGGCAGTGATAGACAGTGAAGAGGCAGTGGGTGAGGCAGTGGTAAGGCAGTGGGTGAGGCAGTGGTAGAGGCAGTGGGTGAGGCAGCAGTTGAGGCAGTGGTAGAGCAGTGTAAAGCGTGTGAGGCAGTGGTAGAGGCAGTGGTAGAGGCAGTGTAAAGGCAGTGGGTGAGGCAGCATGAGCAGCAGTTGAGGCAGTGGTAGAGGCAGTGGTGAGGCAGTGGGTGAGCAGTGGTAGAGGCAGTGGGTGAGGCAGCAGTTGAGGCAGTGGTAGAGGCAGTGGGTGAGGCAGTGGTAGAGCAGTGGTGAGGCAGTGGTAGAGGCAGTGATAGAGGCAGTGGGTGAGGCAGTGGGTAGAGGCAGTGGTAGAGGCAGTGATAGAGGCAGTGGTGAGGCAGTGGAAGGCTGTAGAGGCAGTGGTAGAGGCAGTGGTGAGGCAGTGGTAGAGGCATGGGAAGCTGTGAGGCAGTGGTAGAGGCAGTGTAGAGGCAGGAAGAGGCATGGGTGAGGCAGTGGGGCAGTGGTGAGGCAGTGATAGAGGCAGTGGGTGAGGCAGTGGGAGAGGCAGTGAGTAGTAGCAGTGAATAGAGCGTGGTAGCGGCCGGGTGAGCAGCGTGACAGGCATTGGTAGAGCAGTGTAAGAGGCAGTGGTGAGGCAGTGTAAGCAGTGATGAGCAGTGGGTGAGGCAGCATTGCATGGTAGAGGCAGTGGGTGAGGCAGTAGTAGAGGCAGTTTACCTGATTTACCTGGAAGAGTTCGGGTCACACCGTGGCCGGTCTGGACCAGGCCACCTGGTGGTCAGAGGCCTGATCACCAGGCGTGGTGCTGGCTGCTGCAGTGGGTGAGGCAGTGGTAGAGGCAGTGGTAGAGGCAGTGTAGAGGCAGTGATAGAGGCAGTGGGTGAGGCAGTGGTGAGGCAGGTAAGCAGTGAGTAGAGGCAGTGGGTGAGCAGCATTGAGGCAGTGGTAGAGGCAGTGGGTGAGGACTGGGTAGAGGCAGTGATAGAGGCAGTGGGTAGGCAGTGGGTAGAGGCCAGTGAGAGGCAGTGGTAGCATGATAAGGCAGTGGTGAGCAGTGGGTGAGGCAGTGGTGAGGCAGTGGTAGAGGCAGTGATAGAGGCAGTGGGTAGAGCAGTAGGCAGTGGTAGAGGCAGTGGTAATGCAGGGGTGAGGCATGATAGAGCAGTGGGTGAGGCAGTGATAGAGGCAGTGGTGAGCAGTGGTAGAGGCAGTGTAGATGCAGTGGGTGAGGCAGTGGTAGAGGCAGTGTAGAGGCAGTGGTGAGGCAGTGGTAGAGGCAGTGATAGAGGCAGTGGGTGAGGCAGTGATAGAGGCAGTGGTGAGGCAGTGATGAGGCAGTGGTGAGGCGTGATAGAGGCAGGGTGAGGCAGTGATAGAGGCAGTGGGTGAGGCAGTGATAGAGGCAGTGGGTGAGGCAGTGGGTGAGGCAGTGATAGAGGCAGGATGAGGCAGTGATAGAGGCAGTGGTGAGGCAGTGGGTGAGGCAGTGATAGAGGCAGTGATAGAGGCAGTGATAGAGGCAGTGGGTGAGGCAGTGGGTGAGGCAGTGATAGAGGCAGTGATAGAGCAGTGTAGAGGCAGTGGTGAGGCAGTGGTGAGGCAGTGGTGAGGCAGTGGGTGAGCAGTGTAGAGGCAGTGATAGAGGCAGGATAGAGGCAGTATAAGGCGTGTAGGCAGTGGTAGAGGCAGTGTAGAGGCAGTGGTGAGGCAGTGGGTGAGGCAGGGTGAGCTGATAGAGGCAGTGGGTGAGGCAGTGGGTGAGGCAGTGGGTGAGGCAGTGGTGAGGCAGTGGTAGAGGCAGTGGGTGAGCAGTGGTAGAGGCAGTGGTAGAGGCAGTGGTAGAGGCAGTGGTAGAGGCAGTGGTAGAGGCAGTGGTAGAGGCAGTGGGTGAGGCAGTGGGGGCAGTGGGTGAGGCAGTGATAGAGGCAGTGATAGAGCAGTGGTAGAGGCAGTGGTAGAGGCAGTGGTAGAGGCAGTGGTAGAGGCAGTGATAGAGGCAGTGGTAGAGGCAGTGGTAGAGGCAGTGGTAGAGGCAGTGGTAGAGGCAGTGGTAGAGGCAGTGGTAGAGGCAGTGGGTGAGGCAGTGATAGAGGCAGTGATAGAGGCAGTGGTAGAGGCAGTGGGTGAGGCAGTGGGTGAGGCAGTGATAGAGGCAGTGATAGAGGCAGTGGTAGAGGCAGTGGGTGAGGCAGTGGGTGAGGCAGTGGGTGAGGCAGTGGGTGAGGCAGTGATAGAGGCAGTGGTAGAGGCAGTGGTAGAGGCAGTGGGTGAGGCAGTGGGTGAGGCAGTGGGTGAGGCAGTGATAGAGGCAGTGATAGAGGCAGTGATAGAGGCAGTGATAGAGGCAGTGATAGAGGCAGTGGTAGAGGCAGTGATAGAGGCAGTGATAGAGGCAGTGATAGAGGCAGTGATAGAGGCAGTGATAGAGGCAGTGATAGAGGCAGTGATAGAGGCAGTGATAGAGGCAGTGGTAGAGGCAGTGATAGAGGCAGTGATAGAGGCAGTGATAGAGGCAGTGATAGAGGCAGTGGTAGAGGCAGTGATAGAGGCAGTGATAGAGGCAGTGGTATTTACTAACATATATGTTATAAATAATAATAATAGTACATGTTAATATTAATAACATTATAATAATAATAATAAATGTTATTCATAATGTACTATTATTATTTATAACATATATGTTAGTAAATATCACTGCCTCTCCCACTGCCTCTACCACTGCCTCTACCACTGCCTCTATCACTGCCTCTACCACTGCCTCTACCACTGCCTCACCCACTGCCTCTACCACTGCCTCACCCACTGCCTCTACCACTGCCTCTACCACTGTCTCACCCACTGCCTCTACCACTGCCTCACCCACTGCCTCTACCACTGTCTCACCCACTGCCTCTACCACTGTCTCACCCACTGCCTCTACCACTGTCTCACCCACTGCCTCTACCACTGTCTCACCCACTGCCTCTACCACTGCCTCTACCACTGCCTCTACCACTGTCTCACCCACTGCCTCTACCACTGTCTCACCCACTGCCTCTACCACTGCCTCTACCACTGCCTCTACCACTGCCTCTACCACTGTCTCACCCACTGCCTCTACCACTGCCTCTACCACTGTCTCACCCACTGTCTCACCCACTGCCTCTACCACTGTCTCACCCACTGCCTCTACCACTGCCTCTACCACTGTCTCACCCACTGCCTCTACCACTGCCTCTACCACTGCCTCTACCACTGCCTCAACTGCTGCCTCACCCACTGCCTCTATCACTGCCTCTATCACTGCCTCTACCACTGCCTCTATCACTGTCTCTACCACTGTCTCGCCCACTGTCTCTACCACTGTCTCGCCCACTGCCTCTACCACTGCCTCTATCACTGCCTCTATCACTGTCTCTACCACTGTCTCGCCCACTGTTTCTACCACTGCCTCTATCACTGCCTCTATCACTGCCTCTATCACTGCCTCGCCCACTGCCTCTACCACTGCCTCTACCACTGCCTCAACTGCTGCCTCTACCACTGCCTCTATCACTGCCTCTACCACTGTCTCGCCCACTGCCTCTACCACTGCCTCTACCACTGCCTCAACTGCTGCCTCTACCACTGCCTCTATCACTGCCTCTACCACTGTCTCGCCCACTGTCTCTACCACTGTCTCGCCCACTGCCTCTATCACTGCCTCTACCACTGCCTCTATCACTGCCTCTACCACTGTCTCACCCACTGCCTCTATCACTGCCTCACCCACTGCCTCACCCACTGCCTTTACCACTGCCTCTACCACTGCCTCAACTGCTGCCTCACCCACTGCCTCTACCACTGCCTCACCCACTGCCTTTACCACTGCCTCTACCACTCCAGTCACACTCAATCTACAAGCACCAAATACAATGAATTATTGTGAAATGTTTGGAAGAGCACGGAGACTAATGTTCACTCCAGCATAAACAAAGCCACACTGACGCTGCGTCAACCACTTCCTCCACCACTGCTTCAACCCTCGTATTTTTGTACAATTTCCTTCTTCAATTCTATCGTATTTATTATTATTATTATTATTATATTAATATTATTATTATTATTATTAGCAGTAGCAGAAATGTTTGATTCTTTGCTGTGTTCAAGAGTAAACACATGATGTCACCTTCCAATATCTGTCCGAATAGCCATTCTAATATGCAGTCATGGATGAGTTTACATTACATATACTGTAGCTTAATAGCAAATAATGAACAAACAAAACACTCACCACACAGTGGTGGGAGGGTTGGCTGCCAGTTGCAGGGGTCGGAGGGAGGGTAGTAAGGACTCCTGGTGGTAAACTTAAATATGATTTGGCAGCTGGGAATTTGGCGGTTGGAAATTCGCAAATGTGTGAAGCCCGCGAAAGTTGAAAACGCGAATGTTGAGGGAGACCTGTATATGAGGAGCACTTGACGAAAAAAAATGTCAGGGCAACACCAAGCTAGAAGTGTTTACATTTTGCTCTCTCAACCAACGGGAGGCAAGGAGACGCCATCGCCGCTTAGCTGGAGGCGACTCAAGGAAGGCTTTTGAATGGTCAGAAATAGAGACCGGGAACCCAGATGCATGGGGGGAGTAGGAGGACATGCGCAAAAACCATGCGTTCAGGTCCGAGCACACTCGGACCTGCCCCCTAAAGGGGTACTGTCACCACTAGAAGTACTTGGTGAAGCTATTGAAGTTGTTCTTAACCCTCTGTCAGGCAATGTCTGATATAATGGAATTTCACACTTGACTCCTTTAGAGTGGATAGAGTAACTCAATATAAGATGAATGAGGCCATATAAATGGAATTCTGATGGTTAGTTTCCGAGCAATTGCTAATCTGTGAAAGGCAGTTAAACTCGCCCATGCCTGAAATAGGGAGTATAAATTTGAATGTTGCAAACTTGCAATTGTTAATAAAACACCCAATAACTATTTTTAAAATTTATTATACAAACATACATCAAAAACATCAATGGAACTTGTATCAAAACATTTTGTAAGTATTAGAAAAATATAAAAATGAAAGAAATAGCAACAAGGTCACATTGCAAAGGGATAAAACTTTCAAGTCCCATATTCCTGAGATTCATGAGGAAGAGCAATCATTGTATATTGCTAATTGCTAGAATGGAAGTCTATGAAGCAATTTTTAGCCTTCTTTATGCATAGATTTACTTTGCATACAGAACAGTAGAATGCGGTTGTGACAAATTTTTTCGAGTTGCTACAATACTTGCAACTAAGCGACTTCCCTAACACTGGCCAGTGGTTTAGAGCTTTGTCAAGCCTCACACTGTCATCAGGCCTTTCTGCACGTTGGCCATGCAGAGCTGTCACCATGCTGACACCATTGGAAGTACATGGTGAATTACTTGGTGAAGGTCTTGTAGATGTTCTTAGGGTGCTGTGTCTATACTTTTGGCCTTTAGACCTTGCGGTGACAGAGATTTCATTCCTGAAAAGCTTCAATGACATGCACTTGGCATTTACTGATTGACAATCACGGCAGTAAACAAGCCATGCATTCACAACAGCAAGATCAAGAACATAGGCAAACAGCCGCATGTACCAACGTTTAGATTTCATTGGTGTTTTGTACAGATCCACCAACATGTTACTTTTGTCAATACCTCCCATGTTTGCATTATAGTTCTTGATGACTGCAGGGCACTGTAACTCGGTTTTGGACTTTGTAACCTTGTTATATCTTTCAACAAGACTCACAGGATTGATCCCTACATCACTTGTCAATAAAGTCACAACTTTGTTGTCCTTCCATCTTACAACAAGGACACCATCATTGTTTTTGAAGCTAAAATTGCCCCTGTCCACAATGTTCTTCTCCATTTGTTTGATAGGCATCAGATCTGGCTTACCACATCTATTTTCACGTACTGTTCCAGTGTATCTGCAGTTATACTTATCTCTTAGTACCTTGACCAAATATAGACTTGAAAAGAAATTGTCAGCATAGATTGCTGATGTGTTGGTCTTGTTCAGAGTTGTTGCAAGTACCAGAACAATCTTTGTACTTATTGGTAGTTTAGTTTCTTCCTGTTGAAGCTTTATGGGATGGCTGTCAAAAGTTGGTGTGCCTTGATACACGAGTATATCATGTATGATTCCATCTTCACTTGCACGACAAAAAAGTTTGAAACCACACTTATCTGGTTTCGTTTTGATGTACTGCCTTAGGTTTCCAGCAGTTTTACCCTTGAAACCAACCATGACTTCATCAATAGATTGCTTAGGTGTAGCTGGAACTTTCAAGCAAGCATTAGTTAGTGCAGTGTAAAGAGGCCTTACTTTGTGGAATCTGTCATTATCCTTTTGTGTGTTGTCATTGAAATGGATAGTCCTTCTAAGTAACCTAAACCTCTTAGACCCCATGACTTCTGCAACCTGGGGGATCCTAAATGAACCTGCCCAATAGTCTTCGAGTGATGGTATTTGAACAATACCCATGAACAACAAAATACCTATGAACCTCATGATCTCTTCAGAATCTGTTGCAAAATTATTAGTTATGGTTTTTTGCTTGGCATACAAATTTGTTTGAAATGCTATGTTATCTACCATGTCTTGACTAAAGAAATCACAAAAATACTGATATGGAGACCTAATTTGAAGAGGCTTTTCATGTTCATATGCTGGCAAAGGGTCATTTTGGAGGTCAACCTGGGACCACTTTGGTTCACCTTGAAGAGCAAGATCGTCATAAATATGTTCCTCATCAGGGTACTCCTCGATCGTAATGCCTCTCTTTTTCTTGACTAATTTCTGCTTTTTGGCTGGCCTTTCTTCCTCTTCATCATCACTTGACACCTCTGCATCCGGTGGCAAGTATTCATCACCACTATCAAGCAATTCAGGGTCATCTACCTCTGGTTCTGAGTCACTGTCATCCAAAATGCAGACATATTTTGACCTGGTGTTGGAGGGCTCTCTATAAAACAATTTCTCATTGATCTGGAAGGACAATAAAAACCTTCTGTATAGATCCAGACCACTACAGAATTCATATATGCAATAGAAATTTTTTTATAAATATTTATTTTCCTGAAAGTGTACTATGTCACTAAAAGGGCAGCAACGAAAATTTTCGCCCTTCCTTTGTTGCACTTTTTTCAACTGCAAGCTACACTCACATTATGCTTCACACGGACTTTATGTATACATCAAAATATGCCTAAATTATTCATGTACGCACTAAACACAACAATCAGTACTTACCGACATTGTAGAGGGTAAAATCCAAGAGTATATTAGTGACACTGGATGGAAAAAACCCACTCTGGGCAACGCCAAGCCACAAGTGTTTATATTTTGTTCTCTCAACCAATGGGAAGCCGGCAAATGCCATCACCACTTAGCTGAAGCGACTCAGGGAAGGCTTGTGATTTGTTAGAATTAAAGAACGGGAATCCAGATGATCGGCGCGAGTAAGATGACACGCATAAAGGTGCACATGTTTAAGCGCGAAAATTTTCGCTGCTACGCGACAAAGGGATTTATGTTGATGTGTCTAAACTTTTGTCCTTTGGATCTTGCAGTGATACGATTTCATTCCTGAATAGCTTCAGTGGCATGCATTCCATTTTTAGTGACCGACAATCATGGCAGTAAAGAAGCCATGCATTCACAACAGCAAGATCAAGAACGTAGGAAAACATCCGCATGTACCAACATTTAGATTTCATGGGCGTTTTGTACAGATGCACCAACGTGTTACTTTTGTCAATACCGCCTATGTTTGCATTATAGTTCTTGATGACTGCAGGGAACTGGAACTGGTTTTTTGTCTTTGTTTCCTTGTTATATCTTTCAGTAAGATTCACAGGATTAACCCCACATAATTTGTCACTTGTTGTCCTTCCATCTTACAACAAGGATACCATGATTTGTTTTGAAGTCAAAAGTGCCCTTGGGAACTTTTCCATGTACATATTTGACAGGCATCAGTTCTGGCTTACCACATCTATTTTCACATACTGTTCCAGTGTATCTGCAGTTATACTTGTCTCTTAGTAACTTGACCAAAAGTAGACTTGAAAAGAAATTGTCGGCATAGATTGCTGATGTATTTCTTTGGTTGATAGTGGTTGAAAGTACCAGGACAATCTGTGAACTTACTGGTAGTTCAGTTTCTTCATGTGGCAGTTCTATGGGGTGGTTGTCAAAAGTTAGTTTGCCTTGATACATGAGTATATCATGTATGATTCCATCTTCACTTGCACAACAAAATAGTTTGAAACCCCACTTGTTTGGTTTGGATGTACTGCCTAGGCTTCTAGCAGTTTTACCCTTCATCAACAGATTGCTTGGGTATAGCTGGAACTTTAAAGCAAGCATTATTTATGTGATGAATGACTTTGAAAACCGACAAGTTGAAGAATTGAGACACTTATGCAACCTAGGGGAATCTTTACTGAAGAAATGTTTTGCAACACAGTGGCTTCATTAGTCTTATACAAAGCAGGAAAGTATAAGGAGAAGAGTAGTTTGAGGTAATCAGTCCCTCAGCCTGGAGTCAATGTGTTCAGTCCATCAATCTTGTAGAAAGTACAGCACAGGGCCATAGCAGTGGCTTATATACTGTAGTCAAGTGAGGTGAAGCAGGAGGAGGCAGGGTCATAGTCGAACCATCCACTAGTCTAAGTAAGTCTTCATCCAAAGATTGGACAAGTTTTGAAGAACTCTTTGTATCAAGATCCCATGATGATGCAATGTCTGACAGATGTGATGAATGGTTTCGAAAACCGACAAGTTGCATAAGTGTCTCAATTCTTCAACTCTAATTCTTCTTCAGCTCCAATTCCCTGGATGAAGAACCCTTCAATGTCATCAAGGAAAAATAATAAAAAATGAGAGAGATCAGCCCACAGATGTTTAGAACAAGAAAACAACAATCTGTGGCAGCTTCTTACCTGGCTGTAATTGGTCGTTTCCCCGGGCAGGTTTGTCGCTTTGGCATCGATGGGCAGCAAGTTAGGAATTATTTTTTTATTATCTCTGTCATTATGCATATTATTATCGTTGTTATCCACCCGATCTTCCATCTCTATTGGTTCTGCGGAGAATTAAAATTACTTATTTTTATCAAAGACATGAGAAGTGTTTGGCTGACAACAGGAAATAGTATTATGAAAGAAAAATAAAGATGGCGGTCAGTGTCAGGTTGAGGGAGTGACCATCTTCTATCAAGGCTGAGGGACTGATGATCTTCAATTAAAGCTAAAAGACTGAACATTATCTATCAAGGCTGAGCGACTGACCCCTTCTATCAAGGCTGAGGGACTGACCCCCTTCTATCAAGGCTGAGAGACTGACCCCCTTCTATCAAGGCTGAGGGGCTAACCACCTTCAATCAATACTAAAAGGCTAAACACCTTTTATGAAGGTTGAGGGACTGACCACTTCAATATTACTCCAGCACTTCCTCCACTAAATCTAGCACAAAAATCACCTCTGTCTTCAACTGAACAAGTCTGTTAAACAAGTGAAGCTTTTCATCAATATAGGTACCCCTGTTAACCCTTTGAGGGTTTTCGTCGTACTAGTACGTCTTACGCGTAGGGGTTTTTGACGTACTAGTACTCATAAATTCTAGCGGCCTCAAATCTAGTGGGAGAAAGCTGGTAGGCCTTCATATGAAAGAATGGGTCTATGTGGTCAGTGTGCACAGTCTAAAAAAAATCCTGCAGCACACAGTGCATAATGAGAAAAAAAAACTTTGACCATTTTTTTTTAATAAATCAGCGACTTTGCAGTGTATTTTCGTATGGTATTTATTGTTGTATTCTAGTTTTCTTGGTCTCATTTTATAGAATGGAAGACATATTAGAGAAATTGAGATGATTTTGACTGGTTTTACAAAGAAAAGTGCCTTGAAATTGAGCTCAAAGTAGCAGAAATGTTCGATTTTTACCAAACTTCAAAAGTACACAAATCGTGCCAAGCGTGCAATACACGTCAACTGGTGAGTGTAATATTCTTTCACAAGTGCACCAATAATATTTATACCATTTTTTACACTAATGCAGTAGTCTGCATAACAGTAAATCTTATATTTTTTGTGAGAATAAAAATTCAAAGTGGAAAGCAAAAGAATATAAGAGGGGCCTTGAGACGTTACTAATGACTAGAGGAAATGTCATTTTAGTGCTAGAAATGTCTTTCTTGTTTATTCTGGACCCTATTCGGAAATTGGCATCTTTTGAAATTTGTGTGAAATTGGCAAAATTGCTAAATTCTGACCACTGTACTGGATAGTTGAATTTCATAAATGAGTGGTTTCTTGCACCCATTCGATAGAAAAAATGGAGTTCTAGCGAAATATTCATGTTTTTTGTCGACTAGTACAGTGAAATTGGCCGAAAATGGGGCTCAAAGTGGGCAAAATCGCCGATGCGTAAACATCGCCGAGACCGCTAACTTTGCGAGAGCATAATTCCGTAAGTTTTCTATCAAATTTCAAACTTTTGGTGTCTTTATGATCGGGAAAAGATTCTCTATCTTTTCATAAGAGAAAATAATTTTTTTTTTTTTTAAATTTGGCCGACCCTGAGAACGAGTTTCGGAGAGGGCCTGTCGACCCTCAAAGGGTTAAACAAGTGAAGCTTTTCATCAATATAGGCACCCAAGTGTTGTACATGTGTCTTATTCATCAATCAGTTCAGTGTGTACACTCTGAAGGATGTGAGGAGATACAGAACTGGAATGGATTAGAATCATAATGTTCTTATATTCCAAGATTGACTGATCAATCCCTCGTTGCTTGGAATGTCACACACTTAACCCTTAAACGGTCCAAACGTATATATACGTTCTTACGCGTAGTGCCCCAAACGATTATGTTTTATTTTTCCTGCCTTCAAATTTGGCACGATTGGCCTGAGATGCCTTGTCAGCATAGAATGGGTCCTAACACTCAATGTGCGTGTTATTAAAAAAATCTGGGACCACTTAGTACCTTGTGGGAGCGCCAGTTAAATTGAGTGCCAGCTAGAGCAAACAGTGCAGCAAACACCAAGGATTCACTGATGTAATGTCATGTTAACACTCCTCTTGTAAGAGGAAAGTGATGTTAACCCCAAGTTTAGGGTCTGTCTATCTCTGTATCTCTGTCTATCTCTATCTCTGTCTTTCTCTGTCTACCTCTCTGTCTGTCTATCTGTGTCTGTCTTTGTCTATCTGTCTCTGTATCTCTTTCAATCTGTCTCTCTTTCTATCTGTCTGTCTATCTCTGTCTCACAGGTACACATAAATACAAGTATACATAGTGTAAATTACCTAGGATAACCCAAAAAATCCAGACAAAGTGCTATACTCTGCTTGAAGATGTGAGTAAACGTGATGACGACGCAGTCTTGTGGCTCTCTCTGAGACAGAGAGCTAGACGGATAGACAGATAGACAGGGAGCTTGACAGACAGACAAATAGACTGACATGTTTGTGTGTGTACCAACAAAAACAAAGTGAGGGCGATGCTCATCAAATATCACCTCTAATCTTTTCTTATCAGCTGCACCCTCCCCCACCCTCATGTATGCTCATCAAACGTCAGCTCTTATCAGTTGTTATCTCATCATGTCACTGTCAGGGGTGGACTTTGTTTTTCATGCTTCAAGGGAACTTATTATTACCTCTTCCTCCTCCTCCTCTTCCTCCTCCTCCTCTTCCTCCTTCTCCCCTCCTCCTTCTCCCCTCCTATTTCTCCCCTCCTCCTCCTCTCCTCCTCCTCCTCCTCTTCCTCCTTCTCCCCTCATCCTTCTTCCCCCCCTCCTCCTCCTCCTCCTCTTCATCTTTCTCTTCCTCCACCTCCTTCTCCTTCTCCTCCTTCTCCTTCTTCTTCTCCCTCCTCCTCCTTCTCCTCCTTCTCCTTCTCCTCCTTCTCCTTCTCCTCCTTCTCCTTCTCCTCCTTCTCCTTCTCCTCCTTCTCGTTATTATATACTTCCACATATCCAAAACATTGCTGGGACATATAAATACTTTGTAGGTATTCCAAGACAATAGTAAATAGCTAAGGCAGGTGTAATGTCCACCTGTCAGTGTGTTTGTGACAATTTGAGTACAATTTCAGTACCTAATACTAGTGTCAGAACAAAGATTGGTTATGAAATGACAAGAACTACTACAAATTGTAATTATCAGAACATAAAAATTACATAAAATAATATGAAAAATAGAAAAAAAAAGGTATATCGGCAACACTTCTGCAAGCGGCAGAACTCAATGTTGCTGTCACATGAGCATCCAGTGCCAACTTCTCGGCCTCATATCTCGGTAAGTACTGACCCTAAAAATTTTTTTTATTCTAAAATACTTAAAAAAATGTGCTCTTTTTTCTATAAAAAAAAAAAGCTATTTTTTTTTTCAAAATATTCGGGGTACTGCGCGAGTGAACGTATATATACGTTTGGACTGTTTAAGGGTTAATGCATAGAAAGAAATTATGCATAGCAGCTTCATCCATTTATTCACAGAGTTGTGTCTACACAAGTATGCAAAATAACCACTGTGAAAAAACAGTGAACTTCTAAGTACTTTCGTGATTTCTCACAATATCATGGAAATGTCAAAATGAGAGAACAGAAGAAGGTCATATGTGAGGTGATATCTCAGCCTTATAAGCTTTCTACTGTTCTGTTATTTTTACTAGTCCTTTATGTCAGAAATCACGAAAGCACTTGGAAATTCACTATTTTTCACAGTGGTCATACAGTGATATCACCAATTTACCATGATCTTGTTGCATATATATGTATGAATTCTTGTACATATGTGGTGCATAAAGAACAAAAGGCACAATACCATGAGTGGAGCAATACACAAATAGCCTGCACACAGGAGAGAGAAACTTATGACAACGTTTCACTCCCACTTGGACCATTTACAAGTCACACTTGTAAATAAATTTCTCTCTCTTATGTGCAGGTTATTTGTGTATTGTTCCAGTCACAGTATTGTGCCTCTTTGTTCTTCATATTCCATTACGTTAAATTAATTTATACAAATACAGTGCACCCTTGGTTATTGGCCGTAATCCGTTAGAGAAGCTCGACTTTAAAAGGAAAATGGTCGAAAACCAAAATAATATTTCCCATAAGAATTAATGTAAATACAATAAATCCATTCCAGACACCCAAAAATATTAACAAAAAATATTTTTTTTAACAATTAAATCAGTATTACATACCTTTATTGAAGACTCGTGTTGGTTCCTGGAAGATAGAGAGGAGGAGAGAGGGAGGATTTATTGTTTGGAAGGGGAATCCCCCTCCATAATGACTTCAGGTAAGTCCCTCTCTGGGGTTACTTCCCTTCTTTGTCATTTAATGCCACTAGGACCAGCTTGAGAGTCACTGCACACCTGTTGCACAAAATAACTGTCCAGAGAAGTCTGTTTCTGGCGTCTCTAAGATTTCCCTGAAGTGGGACAAGGTTTTGTCAATGAACAAGTGGCAGATATGGCTTGTTTCAGCTTGAGGTGAGGCAGTGCCTGGTGAGGTGAGGCAGTGGCTGGTGAGGTGAGACAGTGACTGGTGTGGTGAGGTAGTGACTGGTGTGATATACCTGGAGGTGAGGCAGTGGCTGGTGTGGTGAGGCAGTGGCTGGTGAGGCACGGCAGTGGCTGGTGTGTTGAGGAAGTGGCAGGATGGAAGTGATTGTTTTTTTTATTTTCCCCATACAGTGGAACCTCAAAAATCGAACGTATCACATATCGAATGTTTCGAAAATAGGACCATTTTTTCGGGCAAACTGTGTCCCTATTATCGAACGCGCCCCTATTTTCGGACCGACGGGTACAGGACCTGTCTGCCGCCCGCTCTGTCCGCGTCCCCACGCAGGCGCCGTGAGCAGTCTAGCTTTGTTTATGCTTGAGTGAATACTAACCTGCCTCTTTATTCACGCATTTTACGATTATTTCGTTGTGTTTAGTGCTTGTGGGACTGTGAAATAAGCTGCCATGGGCCCAAAGAAACTTGCTAGTGGTACCCCTGTGGTAAAGAAAGTGAGAAACACCATAGATGTGAAGAAAGAAATAATACAGAAGTAATGAGAGTGGTG